CTACTCATTCGACCATATTCAAAGATCCCTAAAAATCCCAAATCTCGGATCCCTAATTTCGACCTTGCTTCGAATTTCCCCCATTTGCTTTAACTTCCCCCACTTAAACTTGAAACTTGCTTCTGCTTCAAGTTTACCCTTGCTTCTGCTTCCAATTTCTCCTCTATCAATCAAAATTTCTCTCTCACCTATGAGATTTGCCCCCAGAATTTCCTCACTTTAGAGAAATCCGACAATTATCGGTAAGACAGTTTTCTTACCAGAATTTTGTGTCAAGCATAAGTACCCCTAAAGTTCGAATTTCAAATTTGAAATTTTTCCTACCTATATCTACATATCCCAACTTAAAATCCTACCAGCAGAAGTTTTTCGGTAACTTTATCCGTTTCCGAGTTATTTCCAAAAAAGTCAAATTTTAAATCCCGACACACCCGACAATTCACAGGAAATGTCTGAATTTTGTGTCAAGCATAAGTACCCTTCAAATTCGAATTTCGACTTTGAGTTTTTTGCATTCGACATCGTCTATTGATGCTTCAGTGCCCTCCCAGCAGAAATTTTCCGCTAACCCCACCCATTCCGGAGATAGCCCCGGCACCTATATTATTTAGGTGCCAAGGGGGTACCAAAATCTTCCGTCCGTATTTTTCCCAGATGCGGCATAAAATTTGACCCCGGACATGTAAAACTTTCAGCCCATTATCTCAACTATGTAAAGAGCTTTAATTTTTCCGACACTTTCTGCCAAAACTTTTATATAATGTATTAAATTAATTAATAGTGGTGGTGAAGGAAGATTCCTTTGTAATTAATGTTTAGTAAGGATTTTTCTAGGATTATTTATTTAATTAAGTCAGACAAACTTTTTGCCCAAACTTTCAAAATTAGCACAATTAATTGAAAGTTCTTTTTGTCTTTTTCATTAATTAATTCCAAAATACGTAAATTTGCCCGATAACCTAAAAATAAAATTAATTTTAATTTCACAAAATTAATTAATTAAAAATAACCAGACAAAGCTAGCAACATCCCCAAATGTTTAGATTTTTCATTAAAAGTTGAATAACCTCCAACTAATTCAATAAAATTAGCAATTATTCCATCAAATATTTTAACAGATAAATTATTTTCGTTTAATAATAAAAATATTTGTGGAGGTAGAACAACAAGAATTAAATCAAATTGTTGTCCCAAAAACTCTAAATTTATTGTTGAAACTCTCCCAGGAATTTTACGAAGAAAATTTGTTCTATAATCCTAAAAATTTTATTTTAAAAATATTTTTTTTTCCGATCAAATTTACCTGACATAATAAACAATAAAAAGAATTATCGTTACAATTTCTTTCGGAAATATTACAATCTTCTAAATTACTATAAAATTGTTTTTCATAAATTAATTCCAAATTAATAAAATCTTCAGATGGAATAATTATTATAATGTCTATATCTGAATATTTTGTTCTTGTATTTAATAAATATGAACCTCCAATTAAAATTTTTGTGTTGGAATTCTAAAAAGTTTGAATTAATAATTAGTTAATAAATAATAAAGTTTTGGTCAAATTTTTGATTTGGGCGTTTGACCGTCTCTAATTTTTATATAGTACATATGTCGGCGGATAAATTCAATTGGGACTGAAATCCAAATTCGGATTTTTCTTTGTATTTCATAGTCAGAGTATGATCCCGTAGCTGTTCTTCGAGTTCAGAACCTTCACCCGCTGGATCTGGGACCGTTCTTTGCCCTATTCCTCGGAATTTTTGAAGGTTATATTTTTTATAAAATTTTTGGCTATAACTTTCAAAAATATCAAACGAGTAAGAAACAACTTAAACACCTTTTTATTTAATTAACACAAAAATCTACCCATAAATATACAATTTTCATCAATCCATCAATTACATTTGCAAGTTTATATTCTTTAATTTGATTGTTTTTATTTGAAATAATTTCATAAAACTAAATTAAATTTATTTACTAAATTAAAATTAAATAATCCCAAACCATCCAATCATTATTATCAAAATATTTTTGTTCTGTTATTTCTCCATTATTTTTAGTTATTGTTTTCCAATTATTTTTCTCTAATTTTTGATCAAAAGCAGAAGAACTACTGCTACTTTCTTCTTTTTTATTTTTTAAAATAATAATTTCATTATCAATTCTTCTTTCTAAATTGTCTTGAATGATTAAATCATTTTTAGCAACAACAACAGAAGTGGAAGGCTTTGTAGAACATTCCCCTTCAACAGAAAATGATCTTTCGCTTTTAGATGATGATTGACTTTCTTCTTCAATTTCAGATTCCAATGAATTTTGTGAAAGCTTTAATTTATTTAAATTAAAGTAAATGGCTTATCCCATCATAGAAAACAGCAAAAGATTGGGTGGGACTTGGTCCTGAGAGCCCTCCGAGGCAAACTTCCCCATCCTAATATTTTTAACTTTAACACATTTTCAAAATAAAAGGAAAAATTATTTTTAATTAATGAGAGTCTAATATTTTATAGAAATTATTTAAAATATCAAAATTATATACTTCTTCACTATCCGTATTCTCATTTTCCTCAGCTAATAATTCATTTTCACTATCAGAATTATTATTTTCTTCTTCTATTTTTGTTTCTGAAACTGATTTATTTTTAATATTTTCATATAATTTTGCATAATTTTTAATTGCTGATTTTTTATTCGATTTTTTATTTTTCTTATTTTTATTCTTTTTTTGTTTTAAATATTTTTCGTTATTTTTTAATTTTTTTGGATTATTTTTATTTAAAATATTTTCATCATTTATTTTATTTTTTTCTTCTTTTTCATCCAAAACTGTATTACTACTTTTGCTTTCAATATCAAAATAATCACTATCATTATTTTTTTCTTCAAAATCGGCTGGGTCAAATTCTAACCCCAAAACTTTTGCTATTTTCTCCAAATCTTCAATTTTATCCCCAACCATTAATGGAAGTGATTTTCGTAATTGTTCGCTTTTAAATTCTTAATTTTATTTTATTTAACTCAACTCTTTATTTTATACATATTAGAAATTTGTGGGACCATCCTATTAAATCCCAGATATTTATTACATAGAAATAATTTTAGGTAAAAATCCAGGTATGCTAGAAGAGATCTTGTTAAATTGAGAACGCGATTACCGGAATTAAGGGAAATTTTCACGAACTATTATCTGGATTTTTGTCTTTATTTTTAGTTTCAAAACAAAAAAATTTTCTTGGATTTCTAATATTTTGTGCGAATTTGTAAAACTAATTTAAAGTCACCAAACCTTTTTTCATTTCTTTCTTAAAATATTCAACCAATTCTTCATTAAAATCTTTTTTGTCATTATTTTCATCTAAAAATTCTAACAACCATTTTAAATTTAATTCTTTTATCCTATTTTTATATTCAACCTTTACTGTTTTCCAATTTTTAATATTCAATTCTTCTTCTTCAAACAAATATTTATTTAATAAATTTTTCCAATAATCAAAATCATTTTTATTTTCAACTTTTTTTGTTTTTTTATTTTGTAAATTTAAAATAAAATTTCTAATTTTAAATTGTATTTTTAACAAAAATTCTTCAATATTTTCAAGTCTTTCCAATTGTTTTTCTTCACTATCTTCATCATTTATATCAAAAATACAATCATAATTATTTATTATTTTCGATTTAATTTCTAATGATTCCCAAGTTGACAAAATATTTTTATTATTTTTTTTCACAAATATTTTTAAGCATTTCATCTACCCATTTATACCAAATAAAATAATTTGCAGCTATTCTATTTAAATATACAAAGGATTTATCTTGCTCAAATAATAAATTGTAGAAATGATCTAAATGATCATCTAGGCTGTTTAATGCTTAAAAAATAAATGTAATGTATCTATTTTATTTGGATTTTAAATGGCTACTTCCTTCCATTACCCATTTTGCTGCTAACTTATTAAAATTACTTATTAAAAGATCATTTAACTACTGATTCGAAAATACAAAAAAACATATTCTCTAAGCCAGTTCCTATTAATTATTATGAAACAAATTAGCTTGATAAATTTTGCCTAATCAGTTTATGAATAGGGTTGGAGTTTTCGAGTCGGGTCGACGTTCGAGAATTTTGGACGGCCAAGAAGCCAGATTTTTCCCTTTAAAATTTTATCGAGTCTTGTTCGGTAAAGACTCGTTCTCGGAGCCATACACATCAACTTAGAATTTAGCTACAATTTTTTCAAATATACTTAACCATCTCTCTTATCCTAATTTTTACATTATTCCCCTAGTAAAATACTCCCCCTCCACTTTTTCCCCTATTAATTTTTAATATAAATTTTACCATCTTCTCCAAATATTTTAAAACTATTAGGAATTAATTTATTTATTCTACATTTTCTTCCTAATTGTACAAGATTAAGTTCATTAATTTTTTCACCCTTAATTAAAAATTTAGTGTGATGTTTCTCTATTTCAATTCGAATTAAATTAATTTCTTCTTTTTGTTCAACTAAATTAGAGCAATCCTTTCCATCCCACAATTTAAATTGTTGAATATTTAAATTATATTTATCATAAATTTCATCTTCAAATAAATCTTTATATATTAATTTAGCCACAATTTTTTCAAATCTAAAATTGTTAAATTTTTATTTATTTAAAAGTTAATCATAAATGTATCAATTATTCTAGGTTTGAAGATAATTTTTATTTGTATCGTCGGATATGTTTTCTAAAGTACATAAGTATGATAATTTAACAGAAATACGAGGTTTTCGGTTAATTCTAAACCCGACAATCCAAGGAATCCACTAACTAATAATCTCTGTTTATATGTTAATTTTACTTAAAAATACATCGATTGATGGGATAAGGCTGACAGATATCTTATTTTAGTCTTTAAAAAATTTTGTTGAATTTTTTACAAATAAATTACCTAATATTAAAATATTCAACACTTTTGAGTTTATAAAAATTAAAAAATTATTTAGTTCGTTTATTTACCTATTCATTAAACAAATTTTTTCTTCGGAAATAAAGGCATTTTCAAAAATTATTTGCCTTAACCATTTTGTCTTTTTCTTTATAATTTCAACCAATTCTTTATTTTCTAACAGATTTTGTTCTCCTAACTTTTCAATTCTTGTAAATCCTCTAAATATAATTTCGGCAATTATCCTCATTTCTGCTCTAATAGAGTTTTTCCTAATTGATTCCCTAATAGAAATTGGGGAATTGTAAATGCTTTGAGCATAAAGTTGGTACAAATAAAGCTTTGCAGAAGATTGCATTTTATCTAAAATTTAAAAAAATCTTTTAATTATTAGTTGCTAGTTTTGTTTAAATTAATTTCTATTTGGTATTTTTCCATTATATACCTCAAATTCTTGTTAGCAATGATACAGTTGGCCGTAATTCTGTTTAAAATCATCGACAGGCTCTTTAGAATTAGCTGCCATTTGTATTATAATCGAATTTTTTACCCCAAAAATCGGCTTGCCCTTCATGGTTTTCAATTTTCGGGGACCTATTTCACGCTTCACATGTTCGACTTAGATGGACGAGACGAATCGAAGGATATATAAATAGAAAGGTTTTAAAATACAGCCAAAGTTTCGTACGCATATAACGGAAAGTACATATGTATAGGATAATTTAATACTAATTACCTAATTTAAGAACATAAGGATAATAAACTTCTAAAGTCAAAAGTCCTTCTTCTTTAATTAATAAAACAAGTTTATCTTTATATTCAATATCAGCTCCACAAAAGAATTGTCTCGCTTCTTCAAAATTATTTATTAGCCAAGTAATACAGAAAATATGATTTTCTTCTGTTTTTGTTATTGACAATAATTTTGTTGAGATCATTTTTGCCGATTCCTCATTATCACAATTAATTAAATTTTTGTCTGTAATTTCTATGTTGATATGTTCCTTCTAAATTTATATATATTTAAATTAATTCGACAAAAATATCCGGTATCAAAACTAATGATCCATTCCTAAAGGGGTGAAAGGAAAACGAGGAAGACTATGTCTGTTCGGTGTTTTAACCTTACACACTTAAAGGAGGCCGTTGATGGACTTCGATTGTTAGTTGAAGGGTGAATGATAATGGAACTTTTTTGGAAAAACAGAAAAAAATTGTCTCAAAATTATTTTGTTATGCCAAATAAAAGAATTAATCTCTCTATGTATGAGAGGAATTAATTCTTTGTCATTTTTTGATATTTGGAACAATTCTAGAAGGAATTAATTTTTTATTTATTTGCCATTTTATTTTTATAATTCTACTTATGTATTTACCAACCAATTTATTTAAAGAATCTAATTGTTCATTCCAATATTTATTATTATTCTCAATTAAATTTATTGAAAATAAATAAATTCTACATAATTTTTTATTTCCCCCTTCATCTATATTTTCTTCCCATTCTTTTAACCTCTCTTGAAAATTTTTGCTTCTTTTATTTAAATAAAATGCTTGCACTGTTTTGTTAATTAATATTATTAAACTAAACATTAATGAAGTAAATTTTAATATTTTTAAATTTCTCAATGATGTTGGATTTGTGTCGGGGCCTTTTAGTAGAAATTCCTTGTAAGTTGAAAGTACATATAGATAATCTGTTAAAATTAAACATTAAATTACTTAATTATTCTTTTAATTTAATTAATTAATAAAATAGAGGATATATTTATATCTATTTTTTATCTTATTTTCGTCATTTATTAATTTATTTTTAATTTTTGTTCATTTTTTCAAATCAATGTTGTCAACCGGTATTGTCGCATCGAAAAATACCCAAATTTTATATTTCAAATAAATTCCGACACAGCCATTATTTTTACATAATTTTTCCCATTATTTAAAAACAAAACCTAGTTCATCATTGTTGTCAAACTTGTCAGTATTATTATCATTTGGATTATTTGGACAATTATAAGTAATTCGATTATATTCATTAATTTCCTTAAATTAAAAAGCCTTTAATTTTAAAATTATTTTATTAGTTATATAAGCAGAATGAAGATAAAAATTTATCTTAAAATTCAAATTGAGTGCCCAGCAATTTTATTTTTCAATTAATTTTCAAAAGGGCATTATTCTATTGAGGATGCTATTCAATTAAAAATTCTAGGGCAATTCAATATCAATTTTTAATTAAAATTTTATTTTATTTTAAATAATATAATAACCTTTTTATTTTCTTCAATTAAATTTTTATTTTCCTCTTTATTTGTTTGCTTAATTAAATATTCAAAATTAGATTTTTCTTCACCTTTTAATTCTAAAATATTTAAAAAATTATTACCAAATTACCTATTTTTATTTTAATTAAAAACTTTATACAATCCCCTCCCAATTATATTCCCTTTTCTAAATTAATTAGTTATTTACCTTCCATTTCTGCTTTAAAATCGGGCCTTTCTTCCAATAATTCCAAAATCATTTCAGAATGTAATTCATTTTGCATAGCTAATATTCCTTTCTTTAATGGTTGTTTTACAAAACTTTTCTGTTTTAGAATTTCCAATTCTTCTTTTAAATAATTTTGAATTGAAATTTCTTTTGAAGAAAAATCTTTGAGGGAATACAACATATTTTTACACAAAATAACTCTTGACATTATATAATCCATAGATATATACTTTTCATTTAAACCATCAATTATAAGTAAAATAATTTGTTTAATATTTTCCCATTCATTTAATATTTTTGTTTTTTCAAATTTTTTATTTAAATAATTAATGAAAACTAACAAATCTCCAGTAAATCCATTACAAGTTAATTTATTAATACCTTCTAAACTAGCTTTCATAATATCATTTTTAAATCCAATTTTATAAGAATTAACAAGTAAATCTTTTAATTCATTTTCTGTCAATTCTTTGAAAAAAAATATTTAAAATAATTATTTAAAAATAAAAAGAAAGTTCAATAAACAGCCTTACATAAGGAATACCATCAAAGTAACAATGGAGAGATTTATATTTGAAATTCACACTCCCCCTCCTTTCCAGATTAATGTATTCCATAATTAGTGTTCCGTTATTATCGCTGCTGGGTATTGGGCATTTGTTGGCTTCGGCTCTGTCCTTTTTCAAACCTCGGATCCGGCTCCGAGGTTTTCAAATTCTTGGCTCCGGCTCCAAAGAAGCCAGCTTCGGAGCCCGAGCCATAACCAGCCATAACCATTCAATGTTATCCAGATATGCTTTTCTTATTTAAAAATTATTTTCCCATAACTTACCAATTTTCAACATTTCCTTCAAAGAATCATTATACCCCTCTTCAACCATAATTTGTACAATTTCTTGATTTTTGTTTAAATAAATAATTATTCGACTTCTCGTACCCCAATTTTCTTTAATAAATTTTTTAAATATTCCATCACTATTTTTATATAAATTAATTATTTCTTCTTCATGTATTTCATGTAATAATTCAACTTTTTCTAGACCTAATTTAACTTTTTCTATATTTATTTTACTTTTTGATCCTTGTATTGCTAACAAAAAATTAGCTAATTCACACATTAATTCAAAATTTGGTTTAATATTTATCATTTTTTTATTCCAAAAAGTTCTAAACATTTTTAAAAATTTTTCTTTATCGTTGGATAAAAGATTTATATTCCGAATTATTTCTTTAAAAAGATATGAGAAATTTAATTGTATATCGGCACCATTTTTTGTTGAAATATTTAATGGTTTACTAAATAATTGTTTATAAAATACAATTTTTAGTTCGTGTTCCATTAAATCTTAAAAAATGGTTTTTTTAGATATATAATATAATACATATTTAAAGCTTAATTAATGCTCTATATGGCTTATAGACAAACTAATAATCCTCTAATATATACTATTTTTAGTTCAAATTTTGCAATATTTGCTTTATTCTTGGAATTTTATTTTAGGGGAATTACGCCGGCCTTACAATTAATTAATTTAATTTAACTCTACCTAGACGAAATAAAATGGGCTGTTTCATTTCCAGTTCTTTAAACATCCATTTCCCTAAAAACGTTCTCATTTTACTTTTTACTTTCAAAATATATTCTGATTGTTCCATCGAGTTTAAATGATTATATAATAAACTTTGTTTTTTAATTTCTTTAATATCTTCAATTTCAACCCAATTTTCTGGTAGAAGGTTGAGCATATACTAAATATTGAATTAAATATTAAACCTCCAAATTAGTGAAGGGAATTTTGTACTGTATTGTATTCCGTGCGGGAATGCCGAAAAATACCGATACCGATAAATACCGATAAATACCGTTTACGGAACTGTAGATCACTAGTTCAAATTAGAGAAGAATTTTATAGTAATTTATTGGTAAGGAACTTAATTTTTGTTTAAAAGCTTCAGATAATTTATTTTTCAGATAATTTTTTAATTTAATCATGAAATTATGCCGTAACGGTATTTTTAAATTAAAAAGAGAAATTTACTAATATGCCAGAATATCCTAAAAATTTTTTATCTCCATTGCCAATGTTTTATAATTAAATCTATAATTTAATTTAAACCTTTGTGTGTAAATATTTAATATTTTCCCTATTAATTTCTGAATCCTTATTTTCCTCTTTTAAATCATTATCAAAATTATCTTTTTCAAAATCCTTGGAATCCTTAATTTTATTAAAAATCATCCAAAAATTAGCCATTTTCTCCAATTCCTTCCAATTAATTTCTTCGGGTAATTTATTTAATTTTTGTTCAATTTCTTCATATTTATTAATTAATTCTATCAATTTATTTATATTATTTTCAATATTATTATTATTTTCATTTATTTTTTTATTATTTTTTCTTTTTTCTTTTTTATTATTTGCTCTTTTATTATTCTTTTTTGCTTGCACTATTAATATTTTTAATTTTCCTTTTATTTCATTAACAGATTTGGCAATAATAAATGCACTTAATTTTCCCCACATTTTATTTGTTTTTTCATCATATGGGGAATTTTCTTTGAAAAATATGCTGGTATATTGTTCGTCTAATTTTGTTTCATCAATTCCTTTAAGGAAATTATTAGAAGTATCCTAGCTAATTCTCGTCATTTTTTAGAAACTGACTTGCTCTTAAGTCATATATTCAAGTCTTGGTCTTAAATAGATTTGGATTGGGAGATTCAGAGGATGGAAATATGAACTAACAAGGATATCTGAAACAGAAATAGAATCCCGACTCCCCTATTGGCTTAGGGAAGTTCAATTTTGGTCTTGAGTCTTTGAAAAGAAAAAAACGCCATATTTAAGTACACCCTCATTTTTAGGCAATTTTTAGTCCCAAAGATGTATTTAAAATAGAGGTTCTACAGTAAATAAATAATAATTTAGAATGTTCTGTCTAATTCAAGTTCAGACAAATTAATTTTGAAAGTTTAATTATAAAATAGCTTTAAAATTTAATTTTTTAATACCTAAAAGAGAGAAACTTTCAGCAAAATTGATTCTCTTTTCATTAAAATCAAAAAACCATAAAACAATTAAAATAAAATTAAATTCTTTCAATTTAAACATATTTAGGAATTCAATTTTTAATTTAATTTCTAGAATAAAATTAGAAAAAAATTTATTTAATCTTAACACAAAATATATTATTCAAATAAGGATGCTATATTTAAATAGAGGATTTAAATTAAGGTGGGGTTGATTTCAGAATTGTTATAAACTTGAGAGTATTTTAAGACCTAATTCTGATTTTAATTAATTTAAATTAATTTTCTTTAGAAATAAATTTTTGTTAAATTAATTTTTTAAAGAAGAATGGACTTTTAAAATAAATTAAAGTGATTTTATAAAAAGGATTGTCTACCCCTAATGAAAATTAAATTAATATATTTCAAAATATTTTTTTGATAAATTTTTATATATGTATTTACATCATGCTTATATAAATTTTTTTAAATTTAATGATGAAATTAATTAAATAAAAAATAATAAAAGCAATTAAGTATTAATTAAATATATTTAAATAATATTATGAAAATTTTTTTAATTTTCTGTCAATTAAAAGTAAATGTGAATAAAAGAATTGAGAGTATGAGGCTTAAAACAAGTATGGGGCTTAAAATAGAAGCTGTAGAAAGAGATAATCTCCAAGCAATTGTTATGGGAGGTGGGAACAGAATGGGGGAAATTAATATTTAGGAGCATGTCTACGCTTATAAGTTTGATGGACAAAAGTTGACTCAAAATCAGTCTGAAACTTGACACGAAACCTCAGATAACATTTTTTACTCTAGTTAACTCAAAATAATTTATTCTTATATTGAAACTTAGGTATTATTTAATAATGTTTCTTCTTACTTAATATTAAATAAGAATATTTAATAATATGATGCAATTCTTTTTATTTTATAAGAAATGTAAAATACGTTAATTTAATTTTTTGTCAATATATATTTTAAAATTATATTCAATAAGAATTCACGTGAATAAATGAATTTATAATTTATAAATAATTTTATTTTGAAATGCCGACTGCACTTTAATGCTGACTGTATCCAATTTGCACTTTTAAATGTTAATATAAATTTAGAAAAATTTTTCCTTCACATTTACATAAAAATTTATTTTATAAAATACAAACACAGACATTTAATTTATTTTTAAATAATATTTATATATTTTTATATATAATACCAGATATTTCCAGATTATTAAATACCAGAATAAGTCAAGAATTTAAAATAAAAATGGTTCTACTATTAAATTTTAAATTAATTTCTATATTTTTATTTTATTTATTATATTTTTGTATTAATATTGAAGGCTTTTCGATGTTTGGTAAATTATATATAAATTGGGAATTTATAAATTTTAATTATTTTCTAATAATTTAATGAAAAATGTAAAAATTAATGTTTTGGAGGGGAATGTGATCTAAAGTTTGATTGGGGGTTTTGACTTAAAAAAGAAAATATTTGGAATATTTTTTTGATAAAATTTTATTTTAGTATTTTTTTCTATCCTTAAAAAATCTCTAAATTTCTCGATTTATTCTTTAAATTAAAATTATTTTCTTAAAGGAATTGAAGATTCTCAATTAGACCTTCGCTATGCCAGCATATTTTTCAACAATAAAAATTCCTCATATGATGAAAAAACAAATAAAATATGGGGAAAATTAAGTGCATTTATTATTGCCAAATCTGTTAATGAAATAAAAGGAAAATTAAAAATATTAATAGTGCAAGCAAAAAAGAATAATAAAAGAGCAAATAATAAAAAAGAAAAAAGAAAAAATAATAAAAAAATAAATGAAAATGAAAATAATATTGAAAATAATATAAATAAATTGATAGAATTAATTAATAAATATGAGGAAATTGAACAAAAATTAAATAAATTACCCGAAGAAATTAATTGGAAGGAATTGGAGAAAATGGCTAATTTTTGGATGATTTTTAATAAAATTAAGGATTCCAATGATTTTGAAAAAGAAAATTTTGATAATAATTTAAAAGAGGAAAATTTGGATAATTCAGTTTATAAAAATAATATACAAGATTTACATAAAAAGGTTTTAAAAATTAATGTTTTTAAGTTCCCCCCGACCGTTAATTTCGGCATACCCGGCTTTCTCCTGTGTTGCTGCATAATTCCTTTCAGTAAAATATTAATAAAATAATTTACAGGAAATACTTGCACTTTTGCCAGAAGAATGGATTGAAATTAACGAAATGGAAAAAATTCAACAACAAAGTGTTTTATACCGATATTTAAATGCAACAAAAGAAGTAAAAGAGATTATGAATGCAAAACACAAAATAAGAGAATTATTAGGGGAAAATCTTTATGTTCTTGAATTGAAACAACCAATATTATTTCGTTTGGGTATTTTAATTTTTATTGTAATGGATATATAGATACTTTAATAGATGTACAAATATGTAGTCCTAAGCCTTTATAATTATTTTACGGCAAGCTCGCTTACTCAAAATCTTTGGAGTAATCAACCTCTTCCAAAAGAGTGTCCACTATCTCCTACTTAAACTGACAGTGCTTCATCACGCCTGCGAGTTTTAATTTATTGTGACAATAAATAGAAGCTAAATGTAGTCTATTTGTAAATTAAAAATCGAGTCATTGTCACTCTTGAATTTTTGAAAAATTTATAAAAAATTTATAATTAAAAAAATAAAAGTTTATTATTGAAACCAGGAAAAGCTGAAAATATTTTAAATTTTTAAACTAAAATATTTTTAATTTTAAATAAATTACAGATTTAATTGAACATGAATACAAACTTTTGCTTTACAAAAATTTATTCGGCAATTCATATAATTCCCCAATTAGTATGGAAGGCTCCCATACAAAACATAAATTCTTAAAACATCAAACTCTCAAAATATCTAGACGAGTAAAAAATCTCAAAACATATTCTCTCAAAACATCAAACTCTTAAAATATATTTACGGGTAAAATATCTCAAAATATCAAAATATATTTTTTAATTAAAAGGGACAGTTGAGTCCCATATTTCTTCCTTGTATCAGGGGTGAATATATTTTAAGATGTAGTACTTCAGGACCAATTTTGCATGAGTTCGACGAGCTGAATCAAGTGAAACCAAAATC